ATTATTATTATTATTATTATTATTATTATTATTATTATTATTATTATTATTATTATATTAAATTTGTATGCTGCCTGATTCCCAGTGACTCTACTTGCACCATTGTTATAATGGTTATTTTTCTTTTGCAACTGTTAGGTAATCCTAACATTATAGGATGAAGGCCAGAAAAAAATATTCAGGGAATGCTCCATCTTTTTATACTATTTACCAAATATTTTTAAAATTATAATACAGGTAGTCCCCAGTTTAAGAATGAGTTCCATTCCCAAGGTCTGTCAAGTCGAATTTGTATGTAAGCCGGAACACTATTATTCTATAATACTGTATAAGTAGTATTGTGTAATGAACTCGAAACATTGTGTGTTTAACTCAAATCATTGTGTTAACTTGAACTTTGAACTTAACCTTTAACTTGAATTTTGCTATAATAGGCTCCATTCTTAATTATGGGTCATCCTTAAACCGGGCATTCTTAACCTGGGGACTACCTGTAATAATAATTAAAATTATTATGAAGTAACATGGTTTCATGATTTCACTCACTGCGCTTAAGTGACAAATACTGTACCCTCCTCTGGCAAGTATGATAAACCCTAGACTGCCTTTGGGACTTAAGAGCTAGAAAAGAAGCTAGGGAATGTCTCAGGGGTGACCCAGCTGTTTCCAGGTGCTAGATGGACATTTCTTCAGGATCTCTCTACTGCCAGACTTGCAGTTGAACGCCACACAGACTTTCTGAAGTCTTGGGTAAGGGGTATCCTGATTACAACTAACAGAGCCAACTGAGTATAAACTTGACAATGACGATGAATTGTTATTGTTATGTTTTTGTAACAAGTTCTACTTACTGCAGCTTACACAAGGGTGCCACAAGCACATTTACTATATGTTCATATTTATACTATATTTGACAACGTTTAGGGTTCCACACATTTTTTTGTTTTTGTTTTTAACTTTTTTAACTATCAAACTATCTACTTAAAATAGTTATATGATGTTTATATAAACATAATGCTTTAAAAATACTTGATTATTGGACAATTTCCCAATAATAAGTTTATTCAAGGTTATACTCAGATATACCCAGAGCAATTAATTCCTTAACTCAATCCAGTTCAAATTCTGCCTGAATGAAGTCATCTTCTTCAATTATATTTGGAGAGGTGCAAGTATAGATTTTTAAAACATGTCTGTTAAGTGTATTTGTTTCAAGTGTAATCCCTCATGTATTTTATAATATACTTACTTCTGGCAGTAATATTGATCTTCTGTAATTTATTGAATCCTTGAATATCTGAAAGAGACAAAGAGCAGGCAGCAGAATGTTTATAGACATGCATTTTGTTTGAAAATTGAAATAATTGTTATGAAGTATGTCATAACCTACGTGACATAATATTTTAAAAACATTTTTGTCTGTTGTTTTGTTAGTTCTGCCTCTGTTTCTTTAACTCATTTACTAATCTGCTTCTGTTCTTAGTTTTAGAAATATTAAACAGGAATAGGCATAGCTAACCCTACATTTTAAAACAACATTTGAAGCCAGTCAATCCAAGGACCATGTGAGAAAAGAGAAGTTTTGTAATAAAAACATATGATGCAAATTTAAATATTCAATTTTATTTTGCAAAACATTAATTTGCCATTTATATTGTTTTGCATAATAAATATATTACAGCTTTCTTAATTAGAACAGGAAGCTATGCAAGATAGTGGAGTGCAATAAAATTCACATTAAAAATGGATGTTTTAAATTCAAAACAGGCTATTCTGATCTCATAGTGTGATGGAATGGACTTATGAAGGCCAGGCTCAGGGAGATAAGCATGTTCTCAGCCCCCAACAGGAGCATGGGAAGTTC